ATGGATATTCTTTAAAAAAATATATGTATGTATAGACTTTAAGCTTAGACTTGAAAGATAAGATAAGAAATTGCTTTTTTTTTTTTTAAAACAATTAAGCGAGAAAACTAGCAAAAAATAGCTATTTAATAAATTAAAAAATAATATTAAAATATAAAATAAAACTTTCAGAACTTTAAAACAATTTTTTCATCAAAAAACCAAAAGCCCCACCCATAAAGTCTTAAATTTCCTCCCACTTGACCTCGAACTTCATGAAACTCTAACCTGGAACACCATCGGCATGGTTTTCGCTTCTGTAATTGATTGATTGATTGATTGATTAATTGACTGATGCATCCTGTTGATGTTGAAAAGTTGAACAAGTTTCTGCAGCCTGCAGTTGAAATTTTTTTTAAAAAAGAAAACTTTGCAAATGGGATGCAGGGGAGAGTGCGATGCCTAATTTGCAAAACGACAATGGAGCAATTTGCATGGGGCGTCGTTATGACCTGGCAAATGGCAATTTAATAAGACCTCCTCCGGCTCCTCCGGTTCCACCTACTCCTGCCATCCTTACACGCAGCCTTTGTGAGCTTGCCACCAAAGGATCGCCGGCCAAAGGATGCTGCAGGACTCGCCGCCCACAGACACAAGCTGCCTGGTTAACAAAGTTACATTCATAATATGTAATAATGAAGAAGACGACGACCAAGCCAGGACCCAGGCCCAAGCACAGGCCAGACAGGATACAGGACCAAAGGACCATTTGATTTCCGCTTTAAGCGGAAGTCTCATTTATACACAAGGATGTATAGTGTATGTGTGTGTGGGTGGGTGTGCCTGTGGTGTGTGCATGTGTAATTTTTGCAAATTGTTACAACGAGCCCCGAGCCAAGGCAAATGGGGCCAGTTGATTGTATTTAAAGTTTCTGTTCTTTCTGCGCCAGATAAATGGCAAAAAAATAAAAAAAAAAACGAAAAAGTAAAATATAAAATAAGGATACAGAGGAGACAAGGGGATACTAGAGATGCAAGGCGGCAAAGGAGTTTCGAAAAAGTCTGCAACGAGTTACCAACTTTTGAATGCCCTTGTCCCAGGGGATACACCATCCACTGGCCATCTCCACTGGAAGAGACTTTGAAAAAAGCCAGAAAAATTAGGAGGCACTAAGGATAGATATTAAAATATTTAAATATAAGAGAGATTAGGGATAATAATAGTATTTAAAATATAAAAATATATATCTTTTAAAAGAATGAAATAATTGAACCTTATGAAGCTTATGATTTCATAAGCTTCCACTAACTATAAAAACTATTTAATATTCTTAGAAAATATATATTAAATGAATTTTCCAAAATATATCACCCTTCTATATAGGCTTTTATCTCTGTATGGTTAACCCTCATAACCCCCAAGACCCAAGGACGATGTCTATCTGCAAGTTACTCGAATCCATTGGCTATATTATCTTGTCAATCCCGGGGACTTGATAATGTTTACTCTAGACATTTCTTTTGCCCAGTGACTGGAATTTTCAGCTGTTTTCCCAAGCATTTTATTTCTTCGCATTTCCAGGCCCCGCCGGCGTAATTTCATTTTCGTTTTGCAGGCGCATATCCGGCCAAGTTCTGTTTGGTAATACCTACAAATAGGATGGAGTAGGGTCCTAGAAGAACGCTAGACCCGGACAAAGGGCGAGGGGGAGGACTAGAACTAGTACTAGGATTAGGAGATGCTACGCGCCAAAGTCAACGCCGGCAACCGGATATCCGCAAGTAGGCGGGGAAGCTGCTAGAAGCAAGGAGCCAAGTGGGGAAGGAGTCGCAACCCCAAGCTCAGGACTCAAGAAGCAACAACTGAATGGTAAACATAAATAAACTGTAGCCGCAGAGAGCTAAGCAGGAGGAGGAGGAGGAACACTGGGGGCGCTGGGTTTTAAGGATTCGAAGACAAAGGCATGTCCTTTGCATACACAACGATTTCGCGGCAACTTTGGGCCACTCAAGTCCTTGGCCGGGAAACAGTCACAAATTCCATGCTCATGAGAAATGGGAACTCAAGCCGTTTAAAAAACAAACAAACAAAAATAGACTAAATAAAAATAAACTAAAAAAAACTAAACATAAACTTAAGAAAATGTTGGGAAATATTTTGAAGAAAAATCCAGACTTGCCAGGGAATCTTAAAGAAATGGAAACAATTTTATGAATTATTTCTTGAGAAATTAAATCAAAATATTTGTATATGAGGCCTTTGAGTAAATTTTTTAAAAATATTTATATTAATTAAATTTTTAAGTAAATTAGAAATACAAATAAATGAGAAAAGTATTTTAGAAAGACTTTGTTTTGTTTAAAACCTAAGAACTTAGCTTTGCCTTTCTTACACTTCTATTATTTTAATAATTCCTAATTTATCTTTTATTTTATAGCCATAACTCTTCTTTTTGTTATAATTTTTAAAAGAAAAAAAACCCTACCAACCCTCTAGGAATTAGTTACCAATTTAAATAAGAAGCCAAACAAAAAACTGCAGACATCATCAAAAGTGTATTTGGAAAATTTCTTGGCCAGGTCAGCTGCCAATTTTTATTTGGCCATTTGATGAAGGTAAAAGGATGAATTTCTCTTGCCCCTCCTATCTCTCTCTCTTCATACTGATATTTTTTTTCCAAACTGATTTGTTTTTTGGGGACAACTTATAAAATCAATTTGGCTGCCGAACACAAAGGGAAGCCAGGTGAAAAAAAAATTGTGAGATATATATATATTTTTTTGTATGGAATGCGTAGAGAAATATGGAAAATTTTCAATTTGTTTAGGTGTGTGTGTGTGGTGGAAAAACTTTCTGACACTTTTCCAGGCCAAATATACAAAAAACAAACAAAAAAGTTTTTGCAATGCCCGGCCACAGTTATGAAATCGCTTAATACTTTTGGAAGACAAACAAAGGTGCGATTATAGACGATATGATACCCGGTACTTGGGTCTATATTACTTTATTAATAGAGATACTATTATATAAAAGTATATATTTTAGTTATAATCAACTATAAATTATTTTTAAATATTTGTGGCTTATGGGAAGCGGTTGAGAAGATACCCTACGAACCCTTAAAAGCCCTACGAAGCTATCTATGATTAGATCCATATATCCATTACATTATATAGCTGTGGAAAGTGTCAAAAAATTTAAAAAAAAATTGTATAAGCATGGAACTAGCTACAAAATATTAAGACAATATCTTATAGCCTACGAGATCTAGGACTGATGTATAAGTATAATTGGGTATATCTGTAGAAATAACACTATATAGAGTAGCTTTCTTCTATTTAAGATTTCCAATAAATACAAGACACCTCTATAAACCACAAGTACCGTGCAACAATATAAAACCTGAACCCAGCTGACCTGAAGAACTTCTCGTTTTTTTTTGTGTTTGTTTTGAATGTTTGACTTTCGTCTGAAGGAAAAACTATGGGAAACTTTTGCTTATTAAACAGGATGTAGGTTGGCTGAAAGATTTGTAGAGCAGTTGGCCCAATTGTGAATTGGCAATCAGAGAGTCCGCCTGGAATTGTTTATACACCCATTCAGGACAAGGACCTGCACACACATCCCCACACATTCACAGCCACTGTGTGTCTCTAAGTCTGATTCTGTGTGTCTTTCTAATAGAATGCTAAAATATTCATAAATTGTTGGGAACAGAGAGGCCCCCACCCGAGCGGCGCACAGGCCCCCCCCTCTCAGGGATAATAAGCCCAGGCACAGAGCTTGAGTTTCCTTGGAGAGGAGCCATCAAATTATAAGCAAATATTGAATTAATGAAATTATTGACAGGCGACTGGGCACCGAGCCGAGGACCTGTTCTGGGCCGGGTCCTGTCGCAGCGCAAAGACACCCCCGAGGATTACTTGTAACTGGTAGCTCGTAACTTGTAACTCGTAACTCTTGCAACTTGTTGCCCCCACTCGATGTGACAGGTTATTCTCTGGTCAGTGAATTGCCAAATAAAATATACAGAATTGCCACCAGCAATGAGGGTTCAATCAACCCAACGGCGAGGGCGATCAGGTTTCAGGGATTCAAGGATAATGGTCTCGAATAATCAAAATATGATTGAGATAGGTCGTTTGCCAAAAGGGTAGTGTTATGATACAAGTAACACGGTTCTTTGCGTTATTAACTAAGGCGATTGCAAGAATGGGGAATAATTTGATAAATATTTAAAGCAAAATAATTGTTAACAATTGCCATCCAAAATCCAACTCCAAAAACCAAAACTATTTGAGCCAACACAAAGGGCTTTGTGATTTTCGATTGAGGTTTTCCGACAGGTCGGCTTCTCGCATTCCCTGGCTCACATTTTGGCAGAAAGGAAAATTCCCCAACTGGGCGACAATATTCCTTTTTGGAAAATTTGCAACAAAAATATACAGAATACACTCCTTTACTCCCTCGTACCCTCGTACCCTCGTACTCCTGGGCTGCTGTGATGATTTGACAGTCTGCCAGAGGCTGGAAAAGTGTATCAAAATGTTGCAACACTTTATGGGCCATAAATATTTATGCCCCTAGCTGGCTACTGAGGGCGACTGAGGCTCTGTGGCTCTGTGGGTGTGGCAGGCCAAATATTTTGGCAACAAAATGCAGGCCAACACACACAGAGACGACCGATGACAGGGCCATGTTAACGACCAAGAAATTGAGCAGAACTTGGCCCAAAAAAAAAAAAAAATGGGTGAAAAAAATAGAATGAAAATGATTTTCTCTCCCACTTGTGAGAATCGGGAAAATTCGTTGTCACATGTCAGGAGCCGGCAGAAGGCAGAATTCTGTGCCGCTTTTCCGGTCTAGTGAGTCCGCTTTGATCCGCTTGGAAGGTTTTTTTATTTTTTTATTTTTTTTTGGAAAAGAAGAGGTTGCCTGGCTGCCAAAATAATAACCTAACAAGGAGCTGTCAGGACATCATGAGTGAAGAATGAAAAGTGTAAGAGTGTAAAGGACTTACCCCGAGTTCCACGTAATTGGTATAAATGGGATATGGCAGGGCTATCACCATTCCGGTCAGCCAGGTGGCGCAGCAGCAGACGAATCCTGGCAGTCGTCCCTTCAGCGGATCATTCAGCCAACGCATCCTGTCCCAGGCGATCAGAATGTGCGAGATCATGGCCACATGCAGGGGGATGTCCTGTGGGGGGGGGAAAGATATATATACTTTTTTCTTTTCTTAAAGTCTTAAATTTAATTTGATGTATTTATGATATACCTATACCTTATAAAACCTCTAAGCTTAACTCCAAAAATATTAAATTTCCTTTTTAATTTTAGTTTCAAAATTAAGTTTTATTTATTATTATCTTTGGCTTTTTATTATCATTAACGCATTATTTTAAATTTATAAATATTATCTCAGCAGTTTTTGGTTATTTTAGTCTTTCATGTCATTTATTGAAGTCTTTTAAGTTTTGTTTTTAAATTTAAATATTTTTAAGCAAGTTTTATTGAAAAGATTATAAAATCCTTTCCTTTAATTGAAATTATTTAGTTTTGAAGGCCAGTTTCCAGTTTAATGATTAAATTTTAATTAAAGTTTTATAAAAATGTGGGATATATAGTTAAGTTTTTGAGGATATTTTTAATACATGTTTTTATGTAAGTTTTTAAAGTAAAATTGTCAAAATAAAAAAGATAACATAAATTTTTAAGCTCTCTTGTGCTCTTTCTGATGTAAGTTTGTCAAACTTTAATTAAAAATTATAAAGTTTTCTTGCAAAAAAAAAAAATTATTCATTAAAGCTTCTGAGCTTTGTTGTTAAATATTAAAAGTATTATAAAATAAAATAATATATAGAATATTTTCAGTAGTTTTGATTAATTTCCAGCATTAATATGGCACGTTCTTAAATATTTGAAGATCTATTTGAAGCCTCGGATGTATCAGAATCAATGTTTGCGGGCATCTCCCAGTCGTGATCGGAGTCATTGTCGTCAGAGTACTCTCCATCGTCAGAGATAATGATAATCTCATCCCTATTCTCGGTATCCACCATATCCTCGACAACCACTATATCCTCGACGCTATCCTGATCATCATTATCCTTATCGGCCTCTACAATGATTAATGGGCATGGGAAGGCAAATTCTTCCACGCCGACATCCACATATTCTTCTTCCTCTTCTACTTCTTCGGGATCCTCGATCTCTGCCAAGTCTGGGGAGTTTGAGTTTCCACCCATGTTTCCGATAGCCTCATCGTCCTCTTCTTCCTCTTCTACTTCTTCGGGATTCTCGATCTCTGCCAAGTCTAGGGAGTTTGAGTTTCCACCCATGTTCCCGATAGCCTCATCGCCCTCTTCTTCCTCTTCTACTTCTTCGGGATTCTCGATCTCTGCCAAGTCTAGGGAGTTTGAGTTTCCACCCATGTTCCCGATAGCCTCATCGCCCGCTTCATCCTCATCGCTGCCATCGTTAAATATGCCGTCCATATCGCGGGTGACAACCCAAGCCGGAGGCTTCATCAAGGGAGTGAGCTGATCAAGACGAAAAACTGTCTGCTCGCCGTTCTCGTCCAGGCCGAGAACATCGAACAGATCTTCAAAGCTCATGCGTTCCTCGAGAAGGCCTTCCCTGCCCGGTACAGGGATGTCGCGCAGCCGCATGCAGATAGCCTCCACGGAGCACCAGTCGGCGACGCTGCCCATGAAGGTCGAAGGGTTGCAGATGAACCGGAGGGCACATTCGCAGAGGTTGCGGGGAAACAAGACAAGGGGTGCAATGTCCGGCTGCGAATCGACGATGTGTTGGGCATTGGGCAGATGATGTTCCAACTCCGGCTCATACTGCTCCTCCATCTCCGTCTCATACTGCTCCTCCATCTCCGGCTCATACTGCTCCTCCATATCCGGCTCATACTGCTCCTCCATCTCCGGCTCATACTGCTCCTCCATCTCCGGCTCATACTGCTCCTCCATCTCCGGCTCATACTGCTCCTCCATCTCCTCCTCAAGCTCCTGTGGCATCGGCTGCAGCTGCTCCTCCTGCTCCCCCTCCTGGTACTGCTCGACGGTGTGTTGGCCACTGGGCAGTTGATGTTCCAACTCCGGCTCATACTGCTCCTCCATCTCCGGCTCATACTGCTCCTCCATCTCCGGCTCATACTGCTCCTCCATCTCCGGCTCATACTGCTCCTCCATCTCCGGCTCATACTGCTCCTCCATCTCCTCCTGCTCCCCCTCCTGGTACTGCTCGACGGTGTGTTGGCCATTGGGCAGTTGATGTTCCAACTCCGGCTCCTCCGGATGATCTTCCAACTCCGGCGCATATTGCTCCTCCATCTTCTCCTCAAGCTCCTGTGGCATCGGCTGCTGCAGCTGCTCCTCCTGCTGGGGGTGCTCTACCGGTTCCTTCTCTAGTTGCTTTTGGTGCTCAATCTTCTCATCCACCTCCTCGCCGTTCTGATCCTCCGGCTGTGGCTGCTGAATCTCCTCGCGTTTATTCGCCGGGTCCAGCTGTTGTTCCTGTTCGAGCTTCTTCCGCTCCTGAAGCTCAGCCATCATCAAATCCTGCTGATTATAAAAAAACTGGTTTAACAGCAGCTCCTCCTGCTGCTCCTCCGGCGTCTGGTAATCCCGGTAATCATCTACTTCCATGTAGTTTGGAGAACGCACAGCCACCTCCTCGCCGTGCTGCTCTACCTGGAGTGGGCTCTGCTCCTGCTCGTGATGCTGGGGCTCTATGGTTCCTCGCTCGATATTCAGCGGATCCTCCAAGTCCATTCTAGCATTGTCGTTGTGGTCATTGTCCAGCGGCAAATCAAATGATGTATCATAGGGAATCGGATCCTCCGAATTGGAATTCGACGTTGATATCGAACTCGGACCTGACCGCGACCTCGACTTGGATCTCGAACTTGACTTCGAATTCGATTTGGAGCTTGAACCAGAACGGCGGGAACTATCATGGCGTGAACCAGAACGGCGTGAAACCGAACTTGAATTTGAATTTAAACTTAATTCTGATTTAGAACTGGAACTTGATCCTATACGAAAATACGAACGAGCACCTCGCCGAGCATCAGCACGAGTCCCTGAACGTCGGGTTCGCGATCTTGAACGGAAACCTTGACGAGCTGCTAGGGAAGATGGCGAACTAGTGTTCGAAGGAGCACGTGGACGAGCAGCTAGAGGGGATGGTGAACGAGTGCTTGAAGGAGCACGTGGACGAGGTGCTAGAAGAGATCGCGAATTACTGTTCGAAGGAGAACGTGGATGAGCAGCTAGAGGGGATCGAGATCGCACCTTTGAACGGAAACCTGGACGAGCTGCTAGAGGTGATGGTGAACGAGTGCTTGAAGGAGCACGTGGACGAGGTGCTAGAAGAGATCGCGAATTACTGTTCGAAGGAGAACGTGGACGAGCAGCTAGAGGGGATCGAGATCGCACCTTTGAACGGAAACCTGGACGAGCTGCTAGAGGGGATGGCGAACGAGTGTTCGAACGGAAACCTGGATGAGCTGCTAGAGGGGATGGCGAACGAGTGTTCGAAGGAGCACGTGGACGAGGTGCTAGAAGAGATCGCGAACTAGTGTTCGAACGGAAACTGGGACGAGTTGCTAGCGAAGATGGTGAACTAGTGTTCGAACGGAAACTGGGACGAGTTGCTAGCGAAGATCGCGAACTAGTGTTCGAAGGAGCACGTAGGCCAAGTGCTAGGGGCGATGGCGAACGATTGTTTGAAGGAGCTCGTGGAGGAGCAGCTAAAGGCGATCGAGAACGAGAACTTTCCCTTGAATTCGAACTTGATTCCGATGTCGTATCGAGATTGATTATTTCGGGCTCTTTACGGCGTTCCATGTCCATTTCCCTATTGTTGTACTGCACTATTTCTTCACCTGTTGTTTCGAAGCGGCGTAGCGGCGGCTCCACAGTGTCGACAGTCACATGGTAGTCCCCCGATGGCACATCCGCCGGTCTCAAGCCCGCCATCATCGGAATTATGTTGACCAGCTGATTTCGCGGCAAAATCACGGCACAGCGGAATCTACAGCCGGCGCAATCCGGAGCATGAGTCCGTGGATCTAAATTCTGCCCCTCCTGGACGCACACCATTACACCAAAAAAAAAAAATAAAAAACAAAAAAAACACAAATAATGTAGCACCAGAAAAAAAAAACACACACACAAAGTTTAAAATCACTGGAAAAACAACACTTTTCCTTACCGACATTTCCACTATTCGTCTGTTTTGATGTCTGTTTTGATAATTTTTCCAAGAATTCAAATATAGCGTCGGGGTAGCGTTGCGCATGCGCGTGACGCTTTAGTGGAGAACGGGAAGGCAAAAGACGCTTGATGATGTTGATGATGGGAAAAGTATTGAAAAAGCACAAAAAAGACTGCCAACTCGGTGGCTTTAGCATCAGAATTAGTTTCTACCAAACACTGGTATCGGATAGGAATCACGGGGGCGATATTTGAAGAAGAAGAACACAGCCTCCCGCTAATTATTTAAAAATAATAAATTATGTTTCGAAACAATCTAGTCTTAAAAAATATTTAAAAATTATATAAAATTATAGAAAATTATTTGGGATTTTTGTTGTATTGTTTATTGATGTCGGGTGCCTATGGGATATTGTTTACATCAAGGCATAGGGGTGGTTCGTCACCTGCGTGAACTGCCCGATGTCAGTGATGTAACAATAAAGAGCTTTATGTATGTATGGGTGTGTACGTTTAAAAAAAAATAAATTTTTAAAAATATTAATTAATTTAAAATTATAAATTGAGCATATAAGTATTGAGTTTAAGGTTTTTAATTAAGATATACAAATATTTTGGGGATAATTTTTGATCAGTGGCCGGCACCCAATATACATATGTATATGTGTGTACATACATATGATTTAATGAAATTGATATGATTTTAATGCATTAGTATTAGTAACTAACAGCAGAAAGTAGTACTGTGGGTGTGTTTAACAGAGCTTGGACAGAGAAATTTCCTATGCCCGCGGGATACGACCACTGTTTTAGATTAAAATTTGTCAGATAATAAAATATGAGAAATAAATATTTATTTGAAAATTAATAAAATATCTTGGGTTGAATATTTGTTTAATTTAGGTTTTACAATTTATAGTTTAAATTAAATTGTTATGTTTAGTTAGGTTTTAAGTTGCATTCTACCCACTGCCTACTACTACTACTACTACTACCTACTATCTACTACCTACTACTATTTTAAACCTACTACGGAAGACTACAGAAGGAGAGCTTTTTTTAAGGCAGCGAATGAATTATGATTATTGTTATTAAATTTAAACTATATTATTAAATGTTATATTATGTTATTCATTATGCATTTCTTTTTAGAAATGTTATATTTTTATTAGTAATTTAATTCTTGCTTTTTGACGATGCTTTGTTGTAAAAATTGGCAATGGTTATGTTTTTATGGACTTATTTTAAACAAAAACAATGGTTATTTTTTGTTTTCCTCAAAAAACGGAGTCTTAGAAAACTCACGTATGTTTAGGCGCTTTCTTTGAGCTTTTGATATGAAATATATTCGAACTCATATTCATTACTCAGGATAATATATAACTATAATTCATAGTTCCTTAAATATATAAAAAGTAAGTGAATATTTATTTAAAAGTAAGCTTGTATTATAATATAAATACGAATAATAAAAATAAACTTAAGACCTCTTTGTTAGTCGCTTTAATTTTATCGCAAAATTCATTTCCCAGAACTATCACTTTTATCATACAATGTTGTATATTTTCTTTAATTTTTTTCGGAAAATCTTTCTATTTTCTTTTTTGTGAAAATGTATTTCCTGGTTTTCGAATTTCCGTGAAACTAGCGCTTTCATTTTTTTTTTGACGGTGGGAGGGCTTTAAGGCAAACATTTAACGCAACTTGACAGATTTGTGGCAGAAGCTGCTGCCGCTCTGCTCCGCCCGGCCACGCCTTTCCAAAACCACCCATCAATCATTCCATTAGATAAAGAGGCGGGGAAGGCGTGGCAGGATAGGCAGGATAAGCAGGAGTGGGAGGCGTGGCATGGACCCGACACACATGCCCGTGACAAATGTGTGTATTTGTGTGAACAGGAGCTATTTGTCGCCCTTTTGTGAAAGCAATCAAATCGAATCATATCCTTGCCATCATCCTGGCTCCTGTTCCATTTCCATTTCCGTTTATGTTTCAGTTTCGGTTCCACTTCCATCCCGTTCTGTTCCTTAATAGGCGCAGGTTCTCGAGCAGGTTGTAAATGTAATCATTTGTCTGATTTAAGGACGAAGGACGAAGGGGCCTAATCGAATTGTCAGACGGCTTGGCCAGGATTTCAGCCAGCCCCACCCTCCTGCATTATCCTGGTCCCATTTGTTTTCCTCACAACACAACAACGAAAAAAAAAAAAAAACAAGAAAGGAAAGAAAATTCTCAATCGAAACGCATCGAATCGAATCTATTTTCTGGTGATATCTGACTCCCAAGCATATCGTCCTGCTGCCTCCCTCGAAGGAGTATGTGTCAATCACGAATGCCTGCCGCCATAATGAGGTGAGGCAGGCAGGCAGGGAGGCAGAAGGCTGCCAAAGGACATCGCTCGGCTGCTCAATTGAGCGAGACCGGATGCCAGAATGGGATAAATATAGCCCGGAGCTGTGACTAACAATGGAAGTGGTTCGCCAAACATATATTTAATTTGCAATGCCACAAATGAGATCCTTTCTCTGATTTAAGGACAACTTCAAGGACTCAACTTGGAATTTTTTTATGATTTAATAATTGTAGCTAACTAACTACTTCGACTCACCTGTAGCATGGGAAGGAAGAAGCACAGAAACTGGCCGAATATCCAATTCTGGAGCAGCATCACCATCAGGGATATGGGCAGGACAAGGGCGCACTGCACAAAGTGGCACAACGCCAGGTTGATGATGAAGGCGTGGGTCACATCCTTGTAGAGGCGATGGTACATGATGTACACCACTATGGCCACATTGAGGACCACGCCCAGCAGGGCTAGGGCGGCGTACTGGATGAGGAAGAGCCAGTAGACGGACTTGATGGTGGACTTTAGGATCGGCCCCTTCAGCTGCTCCATGTCCAGGGTGTCGTTCTCCTGCAAGTCGAGGAAGTGAGCAATTGCCATGGTGTACTTGTCGTGGATGTCCTTCAGATTATCCCGGCCACCGCCTCCAGCGCCGCCGCCGCCACCACCTCCAGCTCCGGCACCACCGCCTCCACCTCCGCCGCCAACGCCACCTCCCAGGCCGCCGGAGCCGCCACCACTCACGCCCATGCCGGCGCCGCCGCCCAGTCCCGCTCCTCCGGACCCCGTGCTGGCCGCCAGCTGGAAGGGATGCAGCGCCGCCGCCAGTCCGCCGCCATCGCCGCCGCCAAACAAGGAGAAATGTTCGGCGGGCGACATGTTCACCGCCTGGAAATAAAAAATAATTCAAAATTTAAAAACTGTGTTTTGTTTGGGAAATATTGGTGGGCCGTATGGGAAGGTAATCCTCTCCAGAATTGGATGGTTATGCCAAGGAAACAATAACAAAAATTTTTTTTTATTTTAATTTTTTAAATATATATATATTTAAGATATAGCCTTCGCTGGGCTCAGACTGGCATTCCCCGTGTTTTTGCAGGGGACCCCTAGAAATTTTGACAAAAAATCGAAAAAATATTTCCTTCCAAGATTTGGATGCAGAATGATAGATAATGGTTCTAAAAGTCATTCAAACCATCCCGCTTTAGAATCGGATGAAAATTGGCAGAGATATAGCCATCGCTGGGATCAGACTGGCATCCCCGTATTTCTGCAGGGGACCCCCTAGAAATTTTGACAAAAAATCGAAAAAATATTTCCTTCCAAGATTTGGATGCAGAATGATAGATAATGGTTCTACAAGTCATTCAAACCATCCCGCTTGAGAATCGGATGAAAATTGGCAGAGATATAGCCATCGCTGGGATCAGACTGGCATCCCCGTATTTCTGCAGGGGACCCCCTAGAAATTTTGACAAAAAATCGAAAAAATATTTCCTTCCAAGATTTGGATGCAGAATGATAGATAATGGTTCTACAAGTCATTCAAACGATCGCGGTTGAGAATCGGATGAAAATTGGCAGAGATATAGCCATCGCTGGGATCAGACTGGCATCCCCGTATTTCTGCAGGGGACCCCCTAGAAATTTTGACAAAAAATCGAAAAAATATTTCCTTCCAAGATTTGGATGCAGAATGATAGATAATGGTTCTACAAGTCATTCAAACCATCCCGCTTGAGAATCGGATGAAAATTGGCAGAGTTATAGCCTTCGCTGGGCTCAGACTGGCATTCCCCGTGTTTTTGCAGGGGACCCCCTAGAAATTTTGACAAAAAATCGAAAAAATATTTCCTTCCAAGATTTGGATGCAGAATGATAGCTAATGGTTCTACAAGTCATTTAAATCATCCCGCTTGAGAATCGGATGAAAATTGGCAGAGTTATAGCCTTCGCTGGGCTCAGACTGGCATTCCCCGTGTTTTTGCAGGGGACCCCCTAGAAATTTTGACAAAAAATCTAAAAAATATTTCTCTCCAAGATTTGGATGCAGAATGATAGCTAATGGTTCCACAAGTCATTTAAAACATCCCGTTTGGGAATCGGATGAAAATTGGCAGAAGTATAGTCTTCGATGGGGTAATATGGGTATCCCCTGTGTTTCAGGAAGAGAACCGTAGGGAACCGTAGCGATAAAAGTCAAAATAGATCCCCAAAACCCAAAAGAAAACTATTATTTTTATGTCAGGCACGAATCGGCGAGCTGGTGAATTGGTTTAATTTTTTTCGAATAACAAGAACATGCAGAGACTGCTGGAAGAAGGAGGATGAAATGAAGGTTCGGCCGTTCTATGAAGGAAGTCGTCGGAGGGAACAGCCTTGAAACCAATGCCTTGGAATGTTTTGAGCCTGACAAGCACAAGAGAACAGAGATAGTTGGATAGTTAGATAGTTGATAGGTAACGATAGGTAGTTGAACATCAGGATCAGGATTTATAGATCACTGTCCGAATCATAATCAATGTATTCGTCGTAGGCGAGATAGATCTGCTTTTGGGTGTTCAAGTGAAGCACCTCGGAGGACTTATCGTCATTGTCTACCTCCTTGCGGACCTTACGAGTTGCGAATGTTTGACGAGTTTTAGATGGATTGGTCTCATCCTCAACCTTGAGATTCTGGGGTACTACCTTCGGGGCATTGCGCCGCTTAAATGCAACCATGGGTGGCTTCTTGTTTATCTCTCTGCAAGTTCTACGACGCTTGGGTTTCATCTCCTCAGTGCCGTCTAGGCTCGACGAGCAATCCATGGGGGCGAATGCCGAATAGAGAACCTCAAGATCACCATCACCATCATTATCGTTAGTATCCAGAGACAAAGTTGGAACATTGTTCTTCTTCGGCGTAGTACGACGTTTAGGTTGAACCTTGGAAGCTCTCTTGTTTATCTCGTTGCTAGTCTTACGACGTTTTGTTGAAGTACTCGGAGTGACATCCATATCGGAGGACTCATCCGGTTTCTTTTCGTTCTTACAGACACTTCCACTACCGGCTGGCGACTTGCGTTTATCTGTCCTTTGAACCTTTGAAGGCCTCTCGTTCATATCCTTGGAAGATCTGCGACGTTTAGTTCCGACTGTCGAGTGGGATGGCATGTCCGTGTCCTCATCGCTGGACCACTCGAAACCGAAGTCACACTGTCGCACTTGCGCGTAGGTTTCGTGGTCCAGCGATTTCAGTCCCCGACAGATCTCCCGCAACTCCTCTTGCTGTTCCGGAGTGAACTCAGCTTGATCTGCAGCCGTTTGTTCTTTCGGTTGAGTTGGATATCCCATGGCCTTCTTCCATAAGCAGGCAAACCATTCCATCATGGAGGTTAAGCCGCTAGAAGTAGGATTAGACTTTTTAGTAGCCGCTTGTTCGCCAGTCTGTTGTTCTGGAAGGTTGTTCTCTTTCTCTGCAGAATCGGTACTCTTGCACTTCTTGGCTTGTGGTTTTGATTTCTTCGGCCGTGTAATGCCGGATCTCTTCGCTCTGCCATATGTGGCCCGACGCTTGGCTGGGCTTTTGCATATTTTCCTGGCGACCGATTTCTTCGGTTTTGATTTAGTCCTGATCTTCGCCACCGTACCACCAACGGCCTTCGAAGGCATAGCCTTCGTGGCCTTCCGCTTCAATGCAGCTGCCTTGGCCTTGGCCTTGGTCTTCGAAGGCTTGCAAACCCTACCGCTGGCGATAGCACGGCGTGGCTTCCGCCCACTGGCCGGTTTGTCGGATGAGGCGTTCTGGGTTTGTGGGTCCGCAGTGGTGGCGGCTTGTGGGTCATCTGTTTCCATAGCCTCGTCCTGACGCCTCTCGTCGCGAAACTGAAAGCGATTGTCATCGTCCTTGGTGGCAAAGTCCAACTTCACCGCATCGCTCAGCATGCTCTCGATATACCGCTTTGTGGGCTTACGCGAGCAACGCAGCGAGAACTTCACCACCTGGGCGACCTCGGACGCGGTCATTGCATCCCCGGTAGTCATCATCACCCGCATCACAGCACTAGAGCCCGGCCACTTCCTCTTCCAGCTGTTCACAGAGCCTGCCATTTTTCGGAATTACTATTCCAAAAAAAAATTAACGTCTAAACAAAAACGGTTTGAACGACGCGCACTTGTATTTTGTATATTAGCCAAAAAATTCAAAAAATTTAATACTAATTTAACTTAATTTTGACTTTGAATTTCCAAAAATAATTTCAAATATTATTTTTCCAAAAATTATTTCAACTAATATTTTTTCTAAATTTATTTTAACTATTATTTCTCCAAAATTTATTTCAACTAATATTTTTTCTAAAATTTTTTTCAACTATTATTTTTCAAAAATTAAATTGATATTTCGATTTGATTGAAATTTTATTTAAATTCAGTGAGTTGTTCACAGCTCGATTCGGCGCGTTGGAATGATTTTGTTTGGTGCTAGAGCTTGCCTGGTAAACTTTTGAGATCAAAAGTTGAAAAAAAAATCTCAAGGCTATATTTCTAAAAAAAAAAATTGTGTAGATCTCATGTGTGGAATACTATTTAAAAAGTTTTCTAGTTTTTACTGAAAGGGATCTAACAAGGTAAACCGCGCTTCCTGTCCACTTGTGTGTAGTTAGATTATTTTATAATATTATTAAATCAAGAAAAATATAATCCAACTCTGTTTTAGAGGTGCTTTTGTTAAAGGTTTGTAGCGTTATACACTTCTTCTATTTGAACTTGGACTTGTAGTTTCTTAATAAACTGTTTCTCCAATACCACATACTTCTTTTACGATCTTGAATACTCTATTGATCTTGATCTTGAATAATACTCGATCATTGCTAAGAGACCTACGATATTTAAGACTATATATATAAAGTTATTATAAGTAATATTCTTAAGACACTTAATTTGTTTTAAATCGAAGGAAGTCTTCAGAAACCAACTATCTGTATTATAATTACTAAAATATCATCCAAATATGATGTTTAGCTGTATTTGTTCAAGGTTTATTATTTCCTCTAAGATTTCTTTATTTAAACTTTTTTTTTATTCTTTTTAAAAAAAGACTTTCCCTACTCTATACTTTCACTAAGACTAAATACAAGTTCTTTAGAGGATTAAAATGCTTTTCACTATGCCTCTTTAACTCTTACTTTGCCTGCTCTAACTTTTATTCAAAAAAAACAATCTTTCTTATTTGTTTAAGATTTAAAGACTTTTAAGAGGTCCTGATTTGATGTTTGTTTTAATATAAGTTTTGTGAGAATATTCATGAACGTTTAATTTAAAAAACCCATTGAAGAAGGACCTTCCAATACCCAGTACTTTATCTTTTTTAGGAAATGCTATTTATTAAAGCCCATTTAAATATAAGCCTTTACGAATGTACTACGAATTTAAGCTTCGTGGAAATATTTATTAGCTTTTTTTATAAGAAACCCATTCAACCAGGTTCTTCCAATAGGCCATACTTGTATACTAATAACCTACTACCACGATAGTTTAGCAGACACTTTTGTCGCCTGACTTGCTGCTCTGGAATGGGGATTTCTGGTTAATTCATTTATTTGCCAGGACGTTGCATTGTTTTGGGTTCTTATTGTTTTGGTTTCTAGTTTCTGTTGTGTTTGTTGTTTGTCCTCGGCTAGATGCGGTTGTGTTTTTGTTATCCTTTGTTACGCTATTTGCAACGGAAATTGCCGAAAGGAGGCGAGTCCTGCAGCCTGCAGACAGGCAACACGATATGGAAATTGAAAATCTGTATGCAGCGTCTGTCCATGTTTTCCAGACACACACACACACACGTACATGGAATTTGGTAAACATGGCGTATACTTGATATTTGCTTTGAATTCTATTCGTTTTTTTTATTTACA